GAAGTTCGTCAAAAATACTCCGCTGCGCGTCGTATTTTCAACTCTCTTCTCGGTGTTTCATCTGGTGATGAAACACTGCATCTCATGTTTGATATATTACATGAAACACCTCGAAGTTCGTCAAAAACAACTCCGCTTCGCGTCGTATTTTCAGCTCTCTTCTCAGTGTTTCATCTGGTGATGAAACACTGCGTGTCATGCTTGATATATTACATAAAATACATCTAGCCAGAATTTTGAAAACGTTACCACCAAATAGAACTCGCCCTTCAAACAATTTTGTTTTCTGCCAAAAGCTCCAAAGCAGCCATTATAAAAATTCTAAGAGTGCAACCATTGCTTTTTTCTGCCGGCTAGTTCTGACTTATGGTGTGTCGCACCCCAGGTCTAAAAATTGAAGATGTACTGATAAGGATCAATACTTTGCTTCCTATGATTATTTTAGCTTTGCCCTCATGCGTACCACGTGAAGTTTCGATCCTTTTTTTTTAATCCAGCAATGAAACACAAAGCGCGCTCAGTGTGTACATTCAGGGTAATGGTGAGCTAAACAATATGAATTTTGAGCCCTACTGATGCGTCGTTGACACTTTTTAAATCTCGAACCGGAAATGAATAACATTCGATGTTTGCCCTAGCTTTTACAACATAGCACTTCAAGTATTTAATAAAATGTAGAAAATTATTGCTAAATAAATACCTCATATTTGCTAACTGAATATGTTACATTAATAAGTAATATCAAACTTTATCAAAATGACAAATAGCGGGCTTAACAATATTATGAAGTACCAATTAATCGATACGTCACTACATTTCTGGGAATGAAAGCCTCTTACTAACCGAATTTAGAGTCCGTAATAGCAAATTATGAAGCTGTATGAACTTGGTTCTTCCCCGGTTTCAACAAGTAATGTATTGACTATATTTCTAGGTTGTCTGTATAGGTCACGAAAGAGACTCGTCGTACAGTGGGATACGATCCTCCAAATTAACCAATTATACAGCGTGTACCGATTGAGAAGGGAAAGGATAATGAATAATTACTTTCTGATATTTTGTTTAAGAAATAATTATATTTGGTGAATGCATTCGCTGAGAAAATATTCAGGTGACATCTCGTTTTGGCAAGGACAAGCAGGTTCACCTTTACCGACTAAGAGTTGGAAAGGTAATTGGCAACTAATTCTAACGCCAATCTTTTCAGAAAGGCTTTTTAATTGGAAATTTCCCTTTTATTTATGTTTTTTTTGTCTTAATTCACTTAAATCAGGCCAACAGAGTTCGGTCGCAAGGTTATTTCCTAAGTTTCTAGATTTGAAGACAATGAAAGTTGCATTTATCTGTTGGTTAGCAATCTACTCTTGTCGTGGCTAACGTATAAAACAATGTACGTTGTACGTATGTAATATTGGGCAAGTCTGCGACGCTCACAAAGTGAATGGTGTTCTTTTTCCACTCTGATGACGGGAAAGCAGTTTGTTCCACTTCTTTTACTTGTTATAACCATAAAACTATAATTTTTATAGATGCAAAATCAGCTTAGACCTCTGTTACCTTACGTCAGCATCGATGCCTTAGACGTAACAAGCCTCCGTGTGCAACGGCGTTCGTCGCTTATGCTGAAACGTTTTCAAGAACTCTTATTGAACACAACTAGGCCTCTCATATACATCACGTACGCTCTGTTCTTTGCGTGGCAAATGATTGGATTGGTTCTATACGAAATGCGGGCTTTCAAAACAACTCTCGTGGCGAAGCATACTAGCTTTCAGTCAACCGATATCGATATGTTTGGGCACTCTGAGCAGCTGCAACTAATCTGGGTGATTTCGCAGATATTTAATGCTTGGCTGGTTATACTTGCTTTGTCAAAAGTGCCATCTTTCCTCGGCTATTATTCCATCTTTAAACGGCTTGTTGGTTTGTCATCCTTTTGGAGTTTGATAGTGCTTTATGGAATGTGTATAGTGAGATATTTACTGATTATCGGGCTCAATGGCACAGCAATGGAAATAGCCTTAATTTTGGCTTTTTTGTCGGCACGAGGCACTCAGGTCATATTAATCGGTTTATTGACCTACACTCCGATCAACCACTCGGAAAAAGGAGTGCTTTAAAGTGTATGCCTTTTTTAAGCTTAACATGTTCGTTTTGTTTTTATCTTATTTTGGGCAGTTTGTAATAAGTTCTGTCCAGCTTGCCCTTCACATTTATGGTGTTGACGAGGACCTTGGAATTCCGTCCGAATTCTTGTCCTTAATTGGGGCAATCCGCAGATTTGCGGCTATTTTATTTTCCTATTGAATCTATACTTTTTATTGGCAAAAGCTGTTTGCTGACAATAGGAATATTCTTTGTCATTACGACTTTCTGGAACAGTGTACTGAAAATTCCCATGACGGTGATTCATAATTTATTCGAGCTCATCCAGCTTAAAATGTTCAGCGATAGACTGAAGAGAGTACACTTCAGGAAAGAAAACGAAAGTTACAGCATGTCATTAAGTTACGTCTTCTCACTGACAAAAGTGCTCCAATCAATTTTTGTAGATAGTAAGGAGTTAAAGCAAGACATTTTTAAGCAACGTCTGTCAACCGGAAGTGCACCTTTTGCAATCTTGGGCCGTGATTTTCAAAAAATTTCTACCAGATCGTCTCTATCAGAGTAAAAAAATTTAGCAATACAAATTTGGTAGCATCAAGTCATATGGGAAGGGAAGAGGACTAACCTCCGGTTGACGTTCGTCGCTCAAAAGCGTCCTTGCTTAAACTCCCTAGTTGTAAATATAGAGCGTGTTCACTTTAAGAAACGTCTGCCGAATTGGTAGCCTGTTCCATGCTCTCAGATTGTCGCGGCGATGACGCGCAAGTGAAAGACACGCGAAAATATGACCACGTGATCTGGGAAAAGGGGGCTTCCTCCCGTTTGATTTTCGTGGTCGCGCTTTCTCAATCTCGCGGT